CTTTATGAATAAATCAATCTCTGACTAATGAACAATGTCACATTTATCAAGTCGTTCTTTAGCGCTGATGGAATTCTATCAATCAAATTCTAATATATATTCACTAATCTAATTGCCTTGACATCGTATTCATCATGTGGAAAACCGGATAGCTTATTGGTAATGTCTGTGAATATGAAAATGGATCTGCCAACGAGCATTCGTACCCTCAAGATTATATGTTAAGTTATATTATGTACGTTTACTTAGAATACAGTAAGTGGAATAATACGGGCAACAACAAAAAAAAAGGTTAATAGGGAAAAAGCATCCTATGAATAACCAACAATTTATAGTAGTCTAATACATTAATCTCTAATCAGTCAATATATGGAAAATGCTTATCAACCATATGGTCAGAGGTCAATCAATAAGTAACTTGGAAATAATAAAATCAATAAAGATAAACAGTCACCATGAGGTCATATGAATGAATTGATTTAATGTTTATCATCAAATAATATCCGTTTGTAAAACTTACTTTAACTAAAAATGGAGGCTTATTATTATTCAATAGAGTTAGCTTATGAATTCAACCAACTAGTTCAAAGAATGTAATATTCAATTGTTAATAAACTATGGCTTTGTGCTTTATTCATATATAATGTAATGAGACCGATAATTACAGAACAGTGATTTATCAACTGGACTTGAGATGGTGGAGAAGATTTGTAGCTCAGGTGGATGATTTTGATGGAGATCAAATTCTAAACTACAATAGCAACAACCCAAGAGCACATAAAATCAACTGCGTGCAAACTTTGTTCAAGAGGGCGAGGTCACACTGCACCACTCTGGCAGCACGAAGAAAGGAAGAGAAATACCTAAAGGAAGTATTTCAAAAGAATGGCTACCCAGTCAAATTTGAACACTTCACTTCTATCTGAAGTTTGTGCTGATGATGTCGTTCAGAAGAACGATGAAAGCTCCATGACCAAACCATCCAGCTCAGAGAACAAAACTCCATCAATATCAACTGGACTAATGACTCATAAAACCCGTACGAGCAGTCCACAGTCATTATCGGTCCTGCTTCCTGTTTAGCCCTGACTGTTTAGTCCAGAACACCAATCACAGCCTCTGAGATATGAATCATGTATTACAACACATACTGGACTTATATACAAACCAAATAGACCACATCATATTATATAATGAAAAATAACATTTGTACAAGTTCATAGGTCAAAATAAAGGGACACAAATATCAATAATTTCAAGTAAAACAATACAAAATGAATTAAACTACACCCTATTGTACAAGCAAGTGGCTATCAAGACTCAGTAGCTAAGTGGATAACGCGATGGTGTTTGAAGCGAACGGTACTGTGATTAAGTTGCAGAGTGAACATGAACTCCGGGATGCAGATACATCCAAGTGACGAGTCCCAAATAGGACGAAACGCGCATCCTGGATTCCACTGCTAACCATTATCCATGTCTGCTTATTTAGTTACCTAACAATGATACAATAAAAATATATATATCGTATAAATTCGGAAATAGATCGTAACCGTTATCATTCATTATTCTCATCAGGATATATATCACTTCTACCTGAGATTTCTACTGGTGATGTTGCTCAGAAGAACGATGAAAAGCTCCACAACTAAACCATCTAATTCAAAGAACAAAACTCCAACAAAATCATTCATCTAAACTACAAATCTCCATTATTCTCATTCAGATAATAACATTCCATAAATATATAGACATTTTCATAAATGTTGATCAGTAAAACAGTTTTATCATTTCAAAAGGTATCATAACTCAACAATTGAAATGACTAAAAATTCCACAAAACCCCCTTCTGATAATAACCAACATATGCTCACTAGTGATTGGCTTCAAAATGTATCTCCTGAAGTTCTAGTAAGAAGCCATGACCAGTGGAGTTCAACTAGGTTTGTTGTGAGATAGTAACTCACTAATGACAAATAGTGGATATGTCGTTCGATTTCGTGAATTTGTTGAAGTTTAGTTCAGTGGTCTAGTGGTTAAGTGCTCGAGCGCAAGACTGATAAATCCCATGAGGCAAGATCGTAGATGTGCACTGCTAAGGAGTCCCAGAATAGGATGAAACGACTTTCCAGTCCTTCTAGATTTTCCATGATGTTCTAGCTTCAATTGACTCGGGATCTCAACTATTGAAAAGTATATATATATATATGCGTATAATGTATTAAAATTCTATGGTATAGTTCATTCAAGTATGGTCCGTATTGTTTCTTATCCATGATAAATAAACTGTTACCGGAAATATTCATATCTATCTGTCTAGACTAAAATCCTACTGAACATTCCCTACATTATATACAATATAGTTTTTATGTACTAATATAATTGTAAATGTATAATGTTTATAATCAACTTGTAAATCAGTCTACTAGAACTAGAATAATCTCTTATTTCATCCTAATTGATTCCATGGTATCTAACTCTAGGTTTGTTTAATATTATTATTATTATTATTATTATTATTATTATTATTATTATTACATGACATACCAATGTATCTGACTTAATGTATATCAACTTCCGTTGCTTGTTTTTATCATTGTAAGACAAGTATAATGAAGCTCAGAAATATAGGACATTATATACATATCCATATATATCCATATATAACCTTTGTATTCATGTACACGTATATCTGTATACGTGTATACGTTGATATCTTCATACTATATATATATATCTTACCCTGAATATTTTAGGACATGTCTATTCCCCCTCTCCCACCACCACCACTACCAGTACCAGCACCACCACCACCACTTTTGTTTTCTTTTCAAAACATGATGTAATCTGAAAAAAAAATTCACCTTTGAAAAGAAAAGATAAATATTAAAAAATAAAAAAAAAAAAAACTAAGTTAAAATTGAATATTCATGTCATAATTACCAATGTGTATATATATATATATATATATATATATATATATATATATATATAGGGGATTGAAGAGATGATCTTGTAAACAATGTTATGATTATGATTATGATTATTCAGTGTAATTTTTTATTTTTTCACTTTATTATCATCTTTAAAACTTCATTTATGTTCATATCGATAAACACCTTCTAGAGTAGATAAACAAACGTTCTAATGAAGAAAAGAGAACAGTTTGATATTAGTCTATTTAATGGACAATTGTTATAGTACTAGTATCTGATTAATCGTTTCTTTTTTTTTCATTGATTTATTAGATTAGTAATTGTTTTTGTTTTTTTTTTGTTTTTTTTTTTGTTGCTAAAGCCTATTTCAACGAGTGAAATTTCTAAAAATGTTCACAAAACCCCTTTTGATAATAATGATCTGTTAATTAGTAACTGACTTCAAGAGGTATTTCTTGGAGTTCTAGTGAAAAGCCATTACCAGTGAAGTTCAACTAGAGATCAGTTGTGAGATATCAACTCATTGAGGACAATGTAATACGGTGGCCGCAACTTCGTGGATTAGTTGAAGTTAGACATTAACACCGTTGGATGCCGGATTAACGGTCTAGTGTTTGAGCGTTCGCGCGCTAGATTGATAGGTTCTGGGTTCGAACCTCGCTGGGGGCGGGATCATGGATGCGCACTGAAGAGGAGTCCCATACTAGAACGAAACGACTATTCAGTGATTCCAGGTTTTCTATGATGGTCTAACTTCAATTAACTCATGATTTCAACTAATGAAATTTGTAAAATCTCGAGAAAACCCCTTCAGATAAAGCCTATAAGACTCAAATTTCTTCAACGACAACAACAGCAACAACAACAAAACCACTGAAGAAGTAGTCATTCGGATTAAAAAATTGAAATTATGAGTCAAAAAAAAGACATACAATCAATCGCTTCTTCTCCACTGGTTAATTTTAGAGTTAACTCATCAATTGTAAACTTAGCTATTGAATGATGTCATTTAACTAATTTACTTACACTTTTTCTTAGCGAAAAACTGTAACTATTGGAGTTCAGTTGGGTCTATTGTGAGATAATAACTCATTGATGATAATGGTAGATGTATTGCTCAATTTCATGGATTAGTTGAAGTTAGACATGAACTCCATGATAAAGCGTTCACATACAAGACTGATAGATCCTGTGTTCAAATCTCACGGGATACGATCATTGATACACACTATTGAATAGTCAGTCAGTCAGTCAGTCAGCTGCAACGTAGGACCAGGCACGTATATGCATCGGTCCAAGTTGCCATACCGCATTAGCACAACAAGATGAACACCAGATTCATAGGAGTAGTTAATTCAGTGGTGGTAATATATAGAAGAAAGATTGTGTATAAGAAGATAGTACAGGAAGAAAGAATTAGTTCGTAGAAAGAAAGATTTGAAGCGATTTTAATCTCTTAGTTTAAGGGAAGACAGTGTATACACCGACGTCATTGTGATCGATTCTGAGCCATGTCACCAAGAGTCTCCAACCATTGGTTACGATAGTCATGCGGACCCCAATCAGGCAGTCTGAATCTCCCAACATGGCTAAGACCAGAAGTTAGTGACTTCAAGCACTGATGCCACGTTTTGGTTTGGCCGCCCCTAACTTTCTTCCAATTATCCCTAACACCGGTTAGCATTGCGCGTGGTGGTAATCGGTGTTCAGGCATACGCAACACTTTGCCCAACCATCTCAGTCGATGAAGATTCATAACCTCATCAACTGATTTACCATCATTCCCTAGTACCCTGCGTCTAACCTCACTATTACTTACCCGGTGATCCCAGCAGATACCAGCAATATTTCTAAGGCACCTGTGGTCAAATACTAGTAACTTACGAATATCTTCCACTCTTAAATGCCATGTCTCATACTAGAATAATATGGTCATCTAATACTTTCAAGTTTTTTATAACGATCTAGTTTTAATTGAACCATGATCTCAACTATTGAAATTACTATAATATCTACAAATACTTCTTCTTCTTCTTCTTCTTCTTCTACTTCTTTTTTCTCTAGATTATAGCTGTGATCTCTGTATTTTTCATTGTTTTATCAATACTTTGTTTTTGTTTAAAAACATCATCTAATCTTCGTATACCATTATTATATAATGATTCAATATTCATCAAATCTAATCAATTATTCACAGATTATGAAACATCATTTTCTTATACACCTTATTCATCATCATCATCATCATCGTCGTCGTCGTCGTCGTCATCACCGTCGTCGTCATCACCGTCATCATCATCATCATCATATTCCCATATCTATTCACATAATTCATTGAATATAGAACCTTCATGGACAATACGTAAACGTATCATTAAATCTCATATATTATTTAGTTATATAGAATGTATATCAAATGGATGGTTTACATTTGAAATAATAATACGTTTTATAGTAACACCATGTAAATTAGAATTTATTAAATCACCTATTAATATTATTGATTTATTAGCATTATTATCATTTTATGTTGATTTAATATTAACTAAAATTATGTCAAATGAAGCTAATTATGAAGCATTAGAATTTTTTTCTATTATAAGAATTATGCGATTGTTTAAATTAACCCGCCATATAGCTGGTTTAAAAATTTTAATACATACATTTCGTGCTAGTCTTAAAGAATTAGTATTATTAGTATTTTTTTTAATGGTATTTATTGTGATATTTGCTGCATTAATGTATTATGCTGAACGTTTTCAATATAATCCACAAAATGATTTTGTATCTATACCAGTTGGTTTATGGTGGGCTATTGTTACTATGACAACTGTGGGTTATGGAGATCAAGTACCAAAAACATATTTAGGTAAGTTAATGATTATGATTATAATTATGATTATGATTATTGTGTGTCTCTCTGTGTGTGTCTCTCTCTGTGTGTGTGTGTGTGTGTGTGTGTGTGTGTGTGTCTGTGTGTGTGTGTGTGTGTGTGTGTGTGTGTGTGTGTGTGTGTGCTAATTGATCTCTATATTCGGTTTTTAAGCTATTCTTGCAACTTTCAAATGAGAAGTATACAATAAACGGAATATGAGAGAGAAGGCAAAAAGTACTTTACTTCAAAAGTTTATTTTAATACAGAAAATATATGAGTTTTTTTGTTTTTTTTATTTATTATATTTTAAATGTCCATCGGTTGCTCGAAGATTGTGAAATGCTACTAACTAAACATAGTAGCAGTATAATAATCTTGATGGAGTTTTGTTCTCTGAGCTGGATGGTTTGGTTGTGGAGCTTTCATTGTTCTTCTGAACGACATTATCAGCACAAACTTCAGATAGAAGTACTGATGATGTCGTTCAGAAGAACGATGAAAGCTTCATGACCAAACCATCCAGCTCAGAGAACAAAACTCTATCAAAATCATCCACCTGAGCTACAAATCTTCTCCACCATCTCAGTATAATAATCAGCTAATTAGAACCTCTACATGTGATATTTCATATCCTTGATGTTTCTGACTAAAACTTCAACTGAATGCTTCTTAGAGTTTTCCTGATCCTTGCTTATGTTTTTCGAGAAATTTTCTGGATCATCCCAACAATGTACTGCCTGTGAAGTGCAGAAAATCAATGTCAACCTCTGTAACATGATTCTTATATTACAGCACAGACTAGAGTTATATATAAACCAAATAGACCATATCGTATGATAAAATAGAAAATAACATTTGTATAAGTTCTAGACAAAAGTGACTGTGAATATGGGAGATAGTAATTGATAGACTGGACATAACTGAACAATGGTAAATCATCTAATAATAGTTTATGGAAATTTCAATTGTTGAGATCATGAGTCAATTGAAGCTAGATCATCATGGAAAACCTGAAAGCACTAGATGCCCGTTTCGTTTTATTGCGGGACTCCTCAGCAATGCGCATCCACGAACCCAGGACCTACTGGTCCCGCGCGCGAGCTGATAATAAGAGAAACACAAATATGAATAGTTTAGTTACTTATATATCGTACTGCTCCAGAAATAGATTCTGACAATTACCATTTATTATTCTCATCGGGATAATGACAAGATGAACACTTGTCGATATGATATCCTTCATACAACTTGAATATATTTCACATGTTATCACAATTAGATGACTGAACACTTAGTTATTCGAAATTTTCTATTGATTACTTTCAACTACTTCTGATAATGCAACCAAATTTTCTGCATATGACATTATCCTTAACCTTTACACTGTATAATGAGTGTGCTGTATTTACTACTTAAGATCATTTTGTGATTCATCTAACTAAGTGTATCACATATAATAGTGTCTAGTTACTTTTTAAACTAAAATATTGATTTCAAGAGTTTCCAGTTATCTGTAACTGTCTGGTATAAGTTAGTCAATCAGCCAGTTAGCTACAACGTAGGACCAGGCACATATATGCATCGGTCCAAGTTACCATACCTCACTCATTAGCAGAACAAGATGAAAACCAAATCCATAGAAGTAGTTAATTCAGTGATAGTAATATATAAAAGAAAGATTGTGTATAACGATATAGTACAGGAAGAAAGAATTAGTTGATAGAAAGAAAGATATGAAGTGATTTTAACCTGATAGTTTAAGGGAAGTTAAAGAGTGTTTAGTGGTCTGGGATCTAACTTTAGATCAGAAGGATGTGTGTGTGTGCTCGAATCACGTTGGGTTCAACACTTTAATGGCCCGAGATCTGACTTCAAATTGATTGTATGAATGATCGTTGTCGAAATATATATGTCACTTATTCTCGTATATAATCATCAACTTAAATCACGTTAGTCAATAACGGAGAATGAAATTTTGTATACATATATCTTGTATATGAAGTGAATGGAATAGAGAGAATCGAAACAACGTACAGTAGAGATGGCGGGTAAGCCAACTCCCCTTTTAATCAAATGTTAATCAATATTTATAGGCACACAAAAAAATAAATTACAGACATGTGATGCGTAATGGGATAAGAAGTGTACACATACCCACGAGCTCATATAAAAACAGTGAAAATTGATAAACGAATAATTAACAAGTTCCAAATATAACTCAATTAGAATGAATAGCTAGAATAAGATATATGTGTGAACTTAACATAATAACCGACACAACAAATGTATACACCTACACCATTGTAATCGATTCTCAGCCATGTCACCTACAATCTCTAATCATTAGTTACGATAGTCATTATTAGACCTTACTCAAATAGTTTGTTTTCTCAAACTAGAAGTTAATGATTTTAATCACTATTGCTACGTGTTTATTTTAGTCACCTCTAAATTTCTTTCAACCCCTCCCTAATCCTAATCATCATGACACATTTAGTCTTATAGTTTACTAAATCAAATTAGTAACTAATTATATATATATACATTTTGTAACGCTTGACTAAATACTTATTACTAAATATAATGATTAACAATGCGTTCAACATTTTAATATCAATGGTTGAATGAATATATCATAATTAACTAGTCCAGACAATGACTATTCCATTTAAAGGATAATCATGTTCTATGTTTCTATGTTTCTTTCTTATTTCTTCAGTAGTATATGATCCATTTAATCTTATTTAGTGGAACTTATTCAACCTTATCAAACTTCTGTAAAAAGAAAATCGATTCTCCCTTTTTTTTTTGGTATTCACCTATATGAGATGATATATAGTAGAACTCATATTTGATTGTGTCTATCAATAGATAGAATAGGAAGAAGAAATTGTGATGAACAAGTAAAGGTGATGGAATATATACTCAAATAACTACAGAAACAAATGAATTTTAATGGTTAAATAGGATAATACGATAAATAGATAGATAGATATCTTCATTCATTGTAAAACATTTAGTTCCAATAGTTGAAATTATGAATTCATTGAAGCTAGACTATCATGAAAATTGTGAAAGTACTAGACGACCATTTCATCCTAGGATAAAACTCTTCAACAGTGCACGTCCAGTACTTCCAGGTTTTCCATGGTGGTCTAACTTCAATTGATTCATGATTTCAACTATTGAAATTACCAATTCTCTACAAAACCCTTTTCTAGAAACATTTAGTTGACACTGGTCATAAGGTTGATTGATATCAAATAAGCATTTATAGTGTTATACAAAAGCTATCAAGAGCATATACTAAAGTTTATTGAAGCCTTAGCTATACGGAAACCGAAATTTCATTTATGTGTTCAAAAATAATTTGTTCTTATCCTTGTACTACTGATTTGTTATCCAGAGTAGTTATCATATTGTTTTTGTGTACTTTATCTTTTTATCCGAAAGGGGATTTTGTAAAGATTGTAGTAAATTAATAATTGAATTCATGATTCAATTGAAGCTAGATCACTATGGAAAACCTGGAAGCATTGAAAAGCCGTTTCGTCTGTTCAATGAAGGCTCATTCGTCTAGAGGTTAGGCATTCGAGGGCGAAACTGATAGGTCTTGGGTTCGAGGCCGTCCAGTGCTTTCAGGTTTTCCATGGTGATCTAGCTTCAATTGACTCATGATCTCAACTATTGAAATTACTATAATATCCCCAAAAACCCTTTCTGATATTTAACATCAAATATTGGTAAACACTATACATCTAATTGTGTGTTCTGGTTCAAGTAGTAGAGATTAAATCGGATTTTTATCTGCCATTACCTTTTTACATTTTTCCTTGTATCTTCTAATTTTTTAACACATACTTGCTTACTTACTTATTTACGCCTGTTACTCCTAATGGAGAATAGGCTATCGACCAGCATTCTACGACACACTCTGTCCTGGGCCTACTTTTCTAGTTAAATCCATTTCTTGTTCATTTTTCTCATGTCTATCTCCATTTCTCGGCGTAACATATTCTTTCGTCTTTCTCTACTCCCCATTTGCCATTGAGGATTCCGATTGAGGGCTTACTTTGTGACAGAGTTGAGTGCTTTCCTCAATTTGTGTCCTATCCTGATTTTTCCATCCGCTGGGATCTGGTTTGTTCTCTTCCACAGTAGGTTGTTGCTAATCGTGTCCGGCCAACGGATTCGAAGTATTTTGCGTAGACAGCTATTAATGAACACTTGTATTTTTTGGATGATGACTTTCGTAGTTCTCCAGGTTGCCGCCCTATACGGTAGAACTGACTGTGTTGACATTTGTATTAAAAATTCTGACATTGGTGTGCTTGTGAACAGTTGTTTTGAGTTGCAGATGTTTTGCAGTCTTAAATATGCTGCTCTTGCTTTTCCGATCCGCCCCTTCATATCTGCATCAGATCCACCGTATTCATCGATCATGCTGCTTAAATATTTAAAGGCTTTTACATCTTCCAAATCTTCTCCGTCAATTTTGATTTGATTGTTGCATGTTGTGTTGTAATGGAGAATCTTGCTTTTCCCTTTGTGTATATTGAGACCTACTGCTGCTGCTGCTGAAGCTGGTGCTACACTGGTCGTGTTCTCCTTCATTTATTGTTGCGTTTGTGATAGAAGAGCTAAATCATCTGCGAAGTCTAGATCTTCCAACTGCATCTTAGATGTCCACTGTATCCCGTGCTTCCTTTCAGATGTTGACGTCTTCATGATCCAGTCGATCACTAGGAGAAAGAGAAAGGTTGAGATTGAGCAACCTTGCCTGATATCAGTCTTTACTTCGAAGGAGTTTTTCAACTGTCCTCCATGCACGATTTTGCAGTTTAATCCATCATAGGAATTCTGTATGATATTGACTACTTTCTGAGGCACGTCGTAGTGTCGATTATTCTGTCCACACTATCAAATTCTTTTTCTTAGTCAATGAAGTTGATATAGATTGATGAATCCCATTCAATTGATTGTTCCACATAGCT